CTTTGCATATTCCATTGCCTTGAAAGTTGTCTGTAGAGTAGGTATTTAATGAATATTTAGTGAATGGATGCCAGTATAGGTGGTGCAGGGGAGAGAGAGGATCTTTATTAAACCCTAAAAGAGCATTAGTCTAGCATCCTCTTCTTTTTTTCCTTTAGAACTTGTTGGAGAAAGTGGCACAGAAAATGCAAGCTCCCAATAAAATCCACTGGATTGAGAAGGCAAATCATTCCATGGCAGTGAAAGGACGGTCAACAAATGATGTTTTCAAAGAAATAAATACACAGATTTTGTTTTGGATCCAGGAAATCACTGAAATGGACAAGAAATAATTGTATTTAGCTAAAAGCTATGTTATTTTGAATACACATTACAGTCCATTTGATAAAGAACAGCATACCTCTCAGCATTATGAGATATTTCAGATGAATTTAATGTTCTTTAATGTTTCCCCCATTTTTAAAACACGTTTTAATTGTGGAAATTAAGGTCCTTTATAAAATATCTTTTGAAAGCACTGTTATAGTTGTATAAAGATGATGTACAAATATTGAAGGTGGTCTAAATATAATTTATTTTCATTAATATAGTTAAGTTTTGAAAAAAAATTAAACATTTGAATTTTGTTACAATGGAACTTTTGTCTTATTTGCTATGCAACTGAGAAAGTACTCTTAATTTTGCAGAGCAGTGTCTTTAAGAAAGGAAAACAACAGTTTACTGTGGTAAATTTAGTCAGTTTTATAGAATGTATGCATTCATTCCCCGAATCTTTTAATCTTGCGGGATAGGAAGATACATTTTCAAATATGGGGACTCTGAACATTGTTTTTGGGATGAGGTAGCTTTCATTCAAGAAATGTTTCCTGAAGGCCTGTTATAGGCAAAGCCTGATTAGGTTTGTGAAGATGAGTAAATACTTAAGAGCTTAAATATAATGGAGGAACTTGATGTCTAGACCTCTCTCTGATTAAGGGGAGAAAGAAGTAAGAACTAAACCGTGGGACTAACATCTGTGCTGTATCTAGGCAGAGTTAGGGTACTTACTTTTGGCTTGGAAAGTTCAGTTAATACCTGGACTGGACTTGAGTAGTATTGAGTTATATATTAAAAACACAGTGTCTGTATTTCCTACAAAGGGCACAAAATGTGATGGGGCTGATATATAAGTTTGTAGTAAAGAGTTGTTTTCTATAGTAAGATATTAACTCTTTTTCCTGGCTTCTTTACTACTCTAATATTAGGCCCTTCAGACAACCTCAGGGTGGCCTGAGCAGCTTATAGATTTTTGAGGTCCCTCATTCTTCTTTCTCTGATGGAGTCAATGGATTTTAATTATTTGTTAATTTTTCTAAATAGTACATAAAGAACAGAAGCCTAGATAACAATGTCCAAATTGTTTTATATTATGGAATGAAACTATGAAATCAAATTTTCTATATCAGTGTATAATAATTACTTTTTGACTAAATTTCTCAAGGCCTAAATTTTTAAAAATTGTATATATTTAATCATTGGTTAACATTCAGAACTTTAAAACACACTGATGTCAAAATATAAACATGTAAAAAACATCCAGAGCTGACAAATACAATCATAGTGTATAAACAAGTATAAATCAATTGGGAAATATTAATACTGTAAATCAGAAGTAAAACTAATGGGAAAATGAAAAGGAAAACTTATTATAGAGCAGACTATAATATAAAAGTACAATGAAGAAATAAATTTAAAAGGTTACTAGCCAGGTTATATAGTTACAATATTCAAGTCTGCAAATTAAAGTATAGGCATGATATAGATGACCAAAGATACTATAACAAATATAGAGATAATGTAGGTCATTTAAAATTGATTTTTTTCCCTGAGTGGCCTGTAAGAAACTTCCTGATTGATGAAAAGGCTTGTCTTTTGAGAACAAAGTCTGCCTCCTCTTCCTGAAACTTTCTTGTTGGTCTTTGTTACCAAATCCACCTCATCCTTTAAGACCCTTAAATTATTTTTCCCTCTTTACAGCTTTTTTTGAATTACCGCAACCAAGTATCCCTCCTTGGAACCCATATAGTATTTTCCTCTCTTTGTTGTGAATCACACTCTGCCTTCTTAGTACATTATTGGCATATTTGTGCCATATCATATATTAAATACTCCCATGTCAGGGAATGGTTTTTACTGATCTTTGTATCCATAGAGCACTTTTTAATTAGTTGTTCAGTGCCTTACATATTCATTATTCAGTATTTGTTGTATTGAACTAAGATATTTAGAGGGAGAATTTTTAACCATTATGAGCAATCTCTGGTTTTATATTGCTATTTTATACGCCTATTATTGGGACTTTTTCCTGATACATTAAAAAAAGCCTAGTTCACAATGTCCCAAAAAGTGTAAAGAATGTAACATTCATAGACATAATAGATTTTTTAAAAACTTAGAATTTTGGGGGGCGCCTGGGTGACTCAGTCAGTTAAACGTCTGCCTTCGGCTCAGGTCATGATCCCGGGGTCCTGGGATCGAGCCCCGCATCAGGCTCCCTGCTCAGTGGAAAGCCTGCTTCTCCCTCTGCCTGCCGCTCCCCCTGCTTGTGCTCTCTCTCTCTCTCTCTTAAATAAATAAATAAATAAATAAAATCTTTAAAAGAAAACTTAGAATTTTCTGGAGTGTTCTCTTATAGTGTCTGTATTACTGTTAGTGATGGGGTTTCTCTTGTGTTCATTATTTTTTTATTGTCTTCATAATTTTTAAAAAATAAATCCAGCTTAGCACTTACTTTTATGCAGCTTACTTGAGATTGACATGGGAAGAGGTTTCTTGTGTAAAGAACAGAGGTGTCTACACTGAGAACTAGGTGATTGTACCTTTTTTTTTTTTTTTTTTAAACCACTAGGCTGGAGTTCAGACAACCTAGGTTCTTTTTTTTTTTTTTTTAATTTT